GTGAGGACAAGGAACAGAGCATCTGGTACTTAATTCTAAAACGGACTTTATGAAGAAAGCTTATTTACATGAGAGGAAAAACAATGCTCTTCCCATGCAATCCTGTCCCCTGCCAGTTTCAGTCTTTCCTATCACCATCACAAGCAGGTTTATTATAAAAAAGAACCAGCTTGTTGGTGTGAACCTTTATCTATAGTTTGGAAATGTCTGCCTGGGAGATTTCTGTTCTTATTCTCATGAGTCCATAGTATCTTATAATGCTGGGTTCAAAATCTTGCTACTTGCATTCTTCATTTCCAACACCTAACATGAGACAAATATTCAAAATGGCATAGATTTTATCAGCTGCATGGAAAGTTTCTGAGCTGTTTACTATCTCTGTTTTTTTTTTTTAAGATTTTACATTCTTTTTTTTAAGATTTTATATTCCTCATACAATTGCAACCCCGACTTTGACCCTAATCCCTCCCCACCTTCTCCTCCCCCCCCCCCAAAGAGTATCTCTGGTTTTGTTGAGTTCTTTGTTTTGTTAGAGCTATGGTGAATAGCAGCTGACTGGGGTTGAGAAGCAGGGGCAGAGTTAGAGCTTAGGGGTTGACAGTGTTGTGTCCTAGACTACAGAGACAGTAGGAGGCCTGACTGCACCTGCCTTCCCTGCTCCTCTGTAACCTGCAGCCCCCCATGGAGCCCATACATAGTAGCTTAGTAAATATTTGAAGAAGTTAGGAATTAGTTTCCATGGAGTTTTCTTCCCTGCCCTCATATCCTTGCTGTGCTTGTTACAGATTTATATATGAGAGATGATTTTCATATGTCATCTAGGTGAAACTCTGCAGAATAAGTAATAAAGAACCTTGCTGTGCTCTGAGATTTACTGGGATTTGTTCTTGGAGAATAAGGGGGCTGTCTTGAGATTTAAAAATCCAGGCAACTATTCTTTTATTCACTTTTTTTGAGTCAGTTTTCTGTTTTGAAAAAGAGGTAGCTGTCTTCTCTGTGTGATGGCTGGAAACCCGATTCTTCAGATGTTATGCTTCTAACATCTCATAAAACATGAGTTGCATTTCCAACTCTGTAAATTTCAAGATCACATAGAATGGAAATGGTTTGGATATGTAGTCCTGACTGCTGGTGAAATTCATATTTCATGGCATTTTTTTTTCTAGAGCTAAGGACCAATCATATGTGCGAAGCAAAAGAAATATAATACTGTTGAGTCTATGAAGGGAGTATTTTTTGCCTTGTAATGTGATTTTTCTGTTTTCCTATCCCTTGTGAATTTGATTTTTATTATTGAATTTCATACTTAATCATTTGTAGCATAGCAGAACTAAAGATAAAATTTTGTCTTTTTGTGTAACACAGAATAGCTTTTGTTATCAATCCTCAAAAATATAGCAGGAAAATAAAAAGATTTAAGACATTTAAACCACATAAAGAGTGGGGCACTGAATCTAATAAAATTCAGTTACTTTTTTTCCCCCTAAAGTCATTGCACTCCAATCTTGTATCATTATTTTGTCATTTGTAGTATCTATAATTAATACTCTTCTTCCCATGTCCATTTCCCCAATTTTTTTGATTAACTTATTCCTACTTCTTGTTCTCATCTGCTTACTGCCACCTTTTTTCAGATAGATACTAAAATAGCTTTTTAAGAAAGAAGTTTTCCAATTTTCCTTTTGTTCCACCCAGTATTAAAAGTTAATTCTTTTTGTTGCACTTTGTTTCTTGTCCTAGTCATGTTTACTTCATATTTTAAAGGATTTAGCTATCCCTCATCCACCTGAGACTTGTGGAAGAAATCTTCAAAGGAAAAATTATCCATTTGCATGCACATGTGAATTCTTAAGCCTGAAATGTAAAATAGCCTTCCTTGAGTATAATGAATTAATTCTAGAATTCAGTAATGGTGTAAAATTGTAACACATACACATATTTGCTGTAATTAAAATGGCTAACTGAAAAAACCGAGAATAGAGATTGTTTACTTGCGGATTAAGGGCTTTTCTGAAGTGAGCATATCAAGGTTATTCTTTGTAACTTTGAAGTGCCATTTTCAGATACTCTAATGTGTTGGGAGAAGGCCAGTTACTGAATAATTACAGCAAACATTTGTGACTGTTAAATGTGGCTAATTATCTGTTTGTATCTTGCACAGGAAACTGGCAAAAATTGATGAATTAGTGTCCACAAAATGCCATAAGACAAAACAAAAACTCATTGGGATGAAAGGCCCATACAGTAACAGACCACTGTTATAAGGAAATTAATATTGGTCTACAGCATATTGATTAGATAAAACCATGTATAAATCTGCAAAGTGAGAAAATGTTCTAATGCAGGAGAGAGGGCTGTGGAGTGTGTGCAGGGAGGTATGGAGGGGTGTACCAGCTCCACAGACCCAATTTTATTCACAAGTCTGTCACTTACTGCTTGTATGACATTAGATCGGACTAAGTCATGTTGCTCTTCAGTTTTTTCATTTATAAAATGGGGAAAATGATATTTCATAATTTTTTTGTATATAGCTTTAAAACTGTGTAGACATTATATGCTATACTTAATAATTCAGTTATTTCTTTTACTAAGACAATAATAATAGTAATGAGAATGCTATTACTGTGTGCTAATAGACAGATACTGTTTAGAAAAGCACAATTTTATTGCTCTCTGTAGTTATTTGATGTTTTATATAGCTGTAGTTTTAAATTAGTTTAAGGAGCACTTGAATACATAATGATCTTTGTAGAATAATATAAAATGCTGATTTTACTTTCCAGTACATGAAGGTTTTCTTTTTTGTAGAAAATAGAACTAAATTGTGTGTATATGAGAGAAGAGACAAAATAAGAAATACATGATTCCACAAACCAAAACCAGTACCCAAATGAAACTAAGCGTAATAATGATGGTTTTGTAAAAATTTTTTGTTTACTATTTCCTTACTCTGATTTTACGTTACAATTTACTAATGCTTTTAGGTAATCAGTAATTGTTACCGACTTCTATGAAGACCTCAATGCAAATGTTCAGAAACTACCACCATTAACATTTTGTCCCTCCCACAACTTGAGAAAACTTTATTTGTTTTTAATGACAGAATCATTCTTAGAAGCTCACTAGAGAAACAGTTTGATAATGATTATTTCATCAATTGACTGCTTGTTAAAATAGTACTAGGTGTTTTTCGTTGTTAAAAGTCACGTTAGCAAAGTCTCAAACCTGACACTTTAATTTTTGATTGTATTGGAGGAAAGCAGTAGATGTGGCTCATGAAGACACAAGTTTGAGATCAGTCTCTGTCTGTCACTAAGCTTTTTGATAAAGAGCTAGGTGAAGTTTTTGTTTCTGCATTGGTCCTTTTCCTCTGACCTTGGTCCTGAAACTTCCAAGTAATTTTAAAATGTTCCTCTGTATAATGATTTCACGTTACTTATATTTTACCTATCCTCTTAGTTATATGTTTTGTTTGTAAGTTAAAATAATATCCATGTTCTCCAAAACTGTGGTAGAAAAAGAGTAACAATGACAAAAAAGAATAATTTAACATTCATGCATTATTTAGGGATGTGACAAATTCGCAATTGCGCTTTGAACTTGGTTTTTTGTTTGTTTCACTTTGAGTTTAAATTACTATTTGGTCAGTATAAAGCCATAGAAATAGAACAGTATGAGCCCTTTAGACTCCCCCCAATCTCTTTTGTATTACTTAGTATTACTTAGTATTACTCCCCTCTTTAAGACTGTTAACATTTGAGCTTCACTTTATCATACAAAGGCCTATAAATTTAGATGAGCAGCTGTATACCCTTCTGAATGCTGTAAGCAGTTAAGTTTGTCTCCAGAGTATTTGTTATAGTTGGATTTTCAATTTTGAGAAAGCCATGTATAAAGAGAACAGAAGGGCTATGATAGAATACCCAGACTTGGAAAACTTGTTAATTCCCATGTTAATGGTTGTTTAATATAGTAGCAAATCATGGTTGCCGTTTCATAGTACTTCATGAAAAGAAAATGATTTACTCTTCATTTATTTTTTCCATTGACTTAGTACGTTATTACATTTTTAAAATATAAATTATTAGCTATGAATTTTGGATTGAGAAAGCATCTTTATTTTAACAATTTGTTTTTGAAAAAGAAAAGAGTTTTATAAAACAAAATCTAATGTGAGCTGGGTCATTTTGTTCTTTAGAATTTCAGTATTATACATACAATTATTTTGACAAATTTGCTGTTGAATTTCTACATTTCCCCCCTACATCTTTGTTAATTTTGGATACTATTTGATTTCTCCCCTCCGGTGTAGTCCCAGTGGTTCTCCTGCCACTATCACACCCGTGATCCATCTCCACTGTGCCTCAGGCCCTTCTCTTCCCTGTTTTGACCTCACATTTTCTACCTATTTTTATCATCTTTGGAAAATGGGAAGCAAGATTAAAGAACAATTTACTACAATAACTTGTTTTGTAAAAATAAACTATAAACTTGCATTATTTTTGTTGATAAAATATTGTCACTTTCCTATGGACCCATGGGGTCAGGATTTCATATACTTTTTAAATTCTGCGTTTAGACAGAAGAAAAGGGAAATAGTCATTATTGCATTTTTTTCTTTAATTACCAATATGGATTATGCACTAGTCATATCAGACATTGTGTTAAGCAATTATGTATTTTCAAACTATAGGTCTTATACCAACTTTATATATATGTGTCTTACTTTCACCAAGTTTAGATGAGAAAATGAGAGTGAATATAAATAACTAGTCCAAAATTACAGTGCTAGTAAGTAGTACTCGGGTTTGATTCCATATCTGTTTGAGGAATACTTGATGAGAATACTTATGCCATTCTGATAATGGGCCCTCAGTAAATATGTATTAAAAAATGAATGTCACGTATCAGTTGACTTAAAGGAAAATTTATGAATGTGCATTCTGATTTACACCTAGTAAAAATTTATATGGGTGCTAATTTTAACCCTTTTTCTCTAGGAGAAAAGATTGAAAGAAAGGGAAGCCAGGAGAGAAGCCAACAAGAGATCAGCAAAGGTAAGGATTTATATTTTAATGAGACAAGAGTAACTTTAAATGTAATTTAAGTGCTGTACTTTTCCATATGCTGTTTATTTATTCATCATAGCATTCAGTTGTAAATCCTTGCCTATCATTTACTTTCCTATATTCATTTGTTTCCTCTGTGATACAGGATGAAAAAAACATAAAATAATTTGCTTATTGGCCTTTGTTTTAGTATCTCCATCACCTCTTTCCACTATGTTTCTGTATATACAATTTCTTAAATATAGGATATGGCTGACTGTGGGCCAGGTCTAATCAGATTTTAAGCTACAAACTTTTAGGTAGAAAACTGTGTGAACCCACCTTGATAATAGGTAATTCTGAAAGCATTGGTTGCTTCAGTTCAAACCCTAGAATTTAGGGGAAAGGACTCTCTGACCTTCAATACATTCTATAAGGAAAAAAATTTCAGCAAATACATATGTACAGTTTCTCCCACATATGTATGTACAATTGTAAACATCATCCATACGAAGCTATAATTTTTATCTTGCGTGTATGACACTGTATAGTATGTTCTTTACTCTGAGGACATTTAGTGGAAATGATTTTCTAGAGCCAGGGCCCAGTAGCATCCCTCATTTCTCATGCTGTATCTCATTGTGCTCTGCCTGACTAGCCATGATTTTTTTCCTGGCAGTTAGCAAAGATCCGACTCCCTTGAGTAAGTCCATAATGTTCCTTGTCATTTTTTCCATGCTGGCTATAGCACTTAGAGAGCAAGTCAGAGATGATAACTCATGCCATAGTTCTCAAGTGGGGAGCAATTACTCTGCAGTTAAAGATGAAAAGACTGCTTATATCCAGTATTAAATCTCACTATGTCTTCAAAGGTGCCTGAAAACGAGGGCTACTGTTTGTGCGGCCTGACTGCTAAGTCGGAGTGCATTTTGTATGTGTTTTCAGAGTGCAGACATGAACTATCATGGCATAGAAATGAGAGCTTAAGGTCTGTACTGGGAAAAATGTAAATTTTACGAGAAAATCTTAAATTTAATGACTGCATTTAATATTTATGAATATTACTACATGTTCAGGATAGAAACAAACCTATTTTTATTTGACCAAGAAGTGCTCATTTCTGCATATGAAATTGGAAAAATGAAAAATACAGTCTGGAGTGGAGAAAAAGCCTTGTTACTATTTCCTTTGTGTGTCTTCATGCATATTTGTATATGTTGCTCAATTTGTTTATTTTTATACCTGTTAATACTTTATGCATGTCTTTCCTTGTGGTTTGAGTGGTAAGGAATAGCTCTCACTCTTGAGCCTGCCTTTTCTTTTATTTCTAAGTTGGTGTATGTATTTGGTTTTAATACTTTGCCAGGTGGGGAATAAATAAACAATAAACTCTGAACGCCAGCAGAATTAGATTTTCCCTTGTGGTAGTTCTCTTAAAGGTAACTCCTCTAGCTAAGGCCTCCGCCCCTATGGCTACCCATGTTTACCCTGTTCACTGTTTTTTGGCTCCCAGGAGAGGAAGGGAACTTGCCTATCAAGAGGAGGCCTCATTTCTGTGTAAATGTGGAGGGACTGTACAGGGAACAAGTCGAAGAGAGGCCAGTATGGCTTTGCTGCTCAGCCAATACTAGAGGCTGTATTCTAGTCTCCTGAAGAGCTGTGCTGCCCCCGTTTCATGGCATTCTTTGCAGGTGCAGGATGACAGCCCTCTTGTACGAGTGATGGTAGCAGAGGAATGAGTGGATGGTTTGTATCCAGAGTGCAAACATTCCTCAAGACACAAAGGACTGACATCCGTGACAGAGTCAGGCTGATTGACAGAGCCCAAGGAATTGGTTTGGACCAACCTTTCTGCACCTTGTCACCTTTCAAATGAAAGTGACAGAGATAAAGACCCTTGTGGCTTCTCAGGTGCTGCATTGTAAACAGACCTATACAATGATGGCTGGAGGGACTCAGGAAGGTTCTGAGTCCTTCAAAGTTCTGTGTTCCCTCATGTGAATAGTCAGGTTTCCTTATTGTCTGTGCTGCTAGTAATGGCTGTGGCCAGTTGTAGAGTCAACTTTGTTCCCTCTTTACTACTTAATTATTGCGGTTCCCTTCCAAGGCCCGTTAGTCAACTTCAGTTGAGATCATCCCTTCAGTCACTGAATCTGCAGGATCCCCACAGGATTGTTAGTGGGGAAAGAAAAAGGTATTTGCTGACTTACTATATCATATTGTCTTATCCCCTCTATATCTATTTTAAGAAATTAGTGCATAGGAACTGAAAATGTGAGAAGGGGAGACTCACATAACTTTCTTCTGACCTTGTTTTCTGCTTCTCAGCAAAGTTGTTATTATATGAGGAGCAGTGTAGAGGATACAAAATATTTTTAAGAATTGGAAAAGCTATTTGAATATAGCTAATGGAATTATTTTTATTTCCCAGAAAAGAGAAGACTTCATGTAATGGAGTTTTCAATTGTCTAAATGATGGTTGGTGGTTATCTGTTCCCTGACATAATGAAAGTATTCCTAAGAAAAATTGTTTTAAAGTAAGAATTGGGGCAGCAGTCCATCTGCCCACCTGTGCCTATGCAGGTGCTTCTTTTTACCAGCTCTCTCCCTCTGCAGGGCAGCAGCTTTCTGCTGCCTGTGACCTGTACCATGCCAGGACTTCTCTTCACTGATCTCCCTCAGTGGAGGCCACTCTCCTCAAGGCCGCCCGCCTGCAACCATGCAGACCTCTCTTAGCAAACCTGTTCCTTCGGGGCAGCTCTTCCTGTCCGCTTGTGTCTATACAAGTGTCCTTTATTCTTTTGTCCCTTTCCCTAATAAACCTGTTCTTTAAATTTATATAAAAAATAAAGTATGAATTGGGTAAGATAAAGTTGGATAGCCTTTTTTGGAATCTGGTGCAACTTTTTATTACAAGGCAGATAGATCTAAGATTTGCCTAGAATATGTTAAGTCTAGTGTCAGGAGAGAAACATAAAGTTGAAACTCTTAAAAGATGTTTTGGGTACCCGATGCTTAGTGATTTGGGAGATAGAGGTCTTTGGGTCTGAAAACTTCCTTTAGCAGAGGAATATTTGAACTGCACGGTGGACTTACTTTTACTTTAGCTAACAGGATATTCCATGTTCTCATTGCTTCGAAATTTTAAGCAAGATCTGAAAAAATAATCATAGTAATGATCAATCCACCACATTGCTTTTTGGGCTCCGGGAGGTTACATATACTGGAAATACAGCTTCACCTCATTATCCAACTCCATTTCCTCCTGTACTCAAGGCACAGGTGAATACACCAATCTTTGGTGACTAGAAGGATTTTGCAGAGCTACCAAGAGAAGATACAGCAGTGCTGAAACTTGAGGAAACAGATCTCCAGAAATATCTGTGCTATTCTGCTTTTGAAAAGAAAAGAAAATTTTTTAGGCAAAAGTACAAGGTTGATAAAACTGAACTCTTTGTATAGAGGAACAAACAGCTCAGAGCGATGTAAACACTGCAAAGTTATACCTTGCTTTGAATATGTTACAGGTGATAATTACAGTAGGTATTTTATAGGCTTGGGGAAAATAATATGAAAATAATTAAAATGAGGTCATACATATTGAGTTTGAAGTTCTATAGTCATTGTAAACTTTACCTTGTTTATCTCTTTTTGGGTTTTATTGCTCTTTTACTTTAGTGACCTTGGGACATGTTATTTGTGTACTTAACAAATAGTAGTATTAGGAAGTTGATTTTTTGAGATATAATGTGGTTTCAGTTAGTTCTTCCAGGATGGGAGATTCAAAGGACTAAAAGCTGTATGATTTTAGAACATGAACATACATGAGATTTGGTTTGGAATGGCTTCATAATCTACTGGTCTAGAATGTCTTTTTTTTCTGGTCAAGGGCACTAGAGGATCAGTTTATTTTAAACCTAATAGCTTTTTTTTTTAAAAAAAAGTTTTTATTTATTTGTGCATACAAGAACTGGGGTATAGGCCAGAGGTGTGGGGTGAGAGGGTTCACCAGAGACAGAATGGGGGAGCAGAACAGACGTATCTACTGAAATACACTGCTGAGGGGAGCCACTGGCAAGGTCTGCTTTGCCATGTGGGTCAGCTCCCTGTCTGGGGATCAAACTCATGCCGCAGTGGCTGGCGATAGCTTGGTAGCGCTGAGACTTTAACCCCTGAGCCACCAGGGAGGCCCTAAACCTAATAGCTTTTGATAGATTTAAAAGAAGCAAATGGAACCCTAGTTTGCTTCTAGTAGTTTCATAAAACAAAGCTGAATTTATTGATTTTTGATATTACGTATTTCTTTAGGTGCTTGAATGTTTTTCCATTTAAGTAATATTAATGGTGATTTGAAATGTCACCTATACTAGAGAAAGTAGAAACCCCGTGTCAGACCTTCAAAACAGTTTCTGAACTTTTTCTGGTGCTTGAAATTTAAAGGTATAATCTCTACTGCTGTCCTTCAGCAGCTTTGAATAGTGCATTGAGTAGCCTGACAGTCTGTGGAGGTACTTTGCATCCCCCAGGAGAAGCGAGGGTCCCCTGGGCAGCTCTAAGCTTTGATCAGAAAAGTCCCATTTTTTTTCTGTATGTACTGAGCTTCCAGGGAAACTTTTGTTTGAAATAGTGTTTCTACTTTAAATAAATACACGCACATGCACACACTTCTACTCTTTTGAAAGAACCCAGATACTAAGGCTAAAAGCTAGTAAATAGCTTATCCATCTTCAATGACTGGTGGCAAAACTGGTATTGCCCCAGCCCCCTGAGTCCTCCTTCTCTTCATGTGGTTCCATGTTGTTTCTGCACGTTACTTTTTACCTTCGTTTTATGTTTTTGTCCCCTAACACAAACCCGCCCTGTGGTGCATGGGCTAGCAGCTGTTCATAGAAAATTACTAATAACAAATTCCTTGAGTAAGGAGAGAACTCAGGACTGAGATTAAAAAGCAGACTGCGTCTCAGTATCCCTTGCCTTCCTCAACCTCTTCTCACCACGTATAAATGAAG